TTCTATTTTTGCAGGTAATACTTCAAGCTCTCATTATCCTAYGGTCCAATTCTATTTACAAAACAATAATGAATTTTTTTTGCAATCACTGAGAAGTGATTAAATCTTGAATGATTCAGCCATTTAAAAGATATTTTCCATTATTAAAAAAAAAAAAAATAACCAAACAAGACCCCAAACAAAACAGCCCCTTGCATCTTTATCTGCATAATCTAAAATCCTGCCAGGCCAGTTRAGGAAAACCTTCTCTTACAGAAAAATTCAAAACAAAATGAGCAGGGTGTGATAAGACACAGATGAAGTCTTTGATGGTGTCTTTCATATCAAATACAAAACACTGTCATTTTCTCTAACTTCATTAGAAAGTTAGACTTTATTCTAATGACTTCATTTTGTCAACATTCAGTTGAATTCTATTATACTAAATAAGCTCATCACCATATTCTGAAGCAAAATTTATGAGGCTGCCCTCAAAACAAAAACCCCCAAAATATTMTTTTGCAATCTTTGGTAAAAAATTATGCAGCATTTCACCTGTCTCAAAAACTGATCTATTATACAAAAAGAGTTGGGAATAACTCATGATCTTGAACTTCTGTGTCTTAAATAATTTATTTTCTCCAGTAATGATGAGGGCAGAGTGGTCCCTAGAGTGTTTTGTAACAAGAGGTCCTAATAGGAAGTTAATAGAAAACCTTCAGGAGATTAAACTGGGCTCTCAGGAAGTATAAAAATTCATCAGGCTATTGCAGCAACTTGATTCAGTTGATCTTGATGAAGATTTTAGTAAAGTTTGTAGAATGCCCAAATTTCTTTTCTGAAAGTTCAACAGTTTCCCAATATTGGCAAGTTCTAAGAAGGGCAAAATTGGAGGGAGTAGCAACAATACCATGGCTGAAGAGAAGAAAAACTGTGGCTATATAGAGTAGAACAAAGGCAGGGGAAAAACTACATATTATGTATTATTGATATATCACTCAGACTCTTTGAAGTAGAAAGGGACCTTTTAAGACACACCCTGCTCAAGCAGAGTCACCTGGAGCCAGTTTTCTGTACAACTGATAAAAGGAAATATCCAGAAGAAGCAAAATACAGAGCTTTAGCCAATTAGTTTTCTAGGATGAGCAAAAGGAAAAGAAGAAATTCAGAAGCCGTGACACTAAATTTCAACACAACTGCAATCCTCCACAGTCTGAATCCCTGGATTTGCTTCRTCTTTAGATGAACAGACAATCTAGAGATAACAGATATTATCTTAACTATTCATGCCTGAATTCCAACTGTAGAGTCAGAAGTATCTGCTTTTAATACAATCCACAGCAGCACGGCCAAGATCATCCTGAAGTCTCTGCCTTTTTAGTCATCACAACATATTGCAGATTCAGTGGGTATATTGGGTGGGAAGACAAAGCATTTCAGTGCACTGTCTGCCCTTCTAAATTTTTTTTTAATAATGAAGGGCTTGAGTACAGAATAAAAAAATCTCCCTTTGCGATTAATTTATATACCTTTATATTAATTAAGCTTCCCCGGTTACATTACAGCTTTATTCTCATGTACCTAACAAAAAAATGTACATTTTTTGATTGATACTTACAGTGAATGAACATAAAATAAAAAGGGCAACTTAAAATATACTGGTATATTACCAGTCCCAAAATGGTGCCTGAAGTAGTTACTGTAATATGGAGGGAAGAAATTGAAAGCAGAGTTCAAGTTGCAGTGACATTACGTTTCAGTCTACCTTTAGRGAAACAACTGAAAATACTTAAAATTTGTAATTGAGTATGACAGTAATTACAGACCTGCCTTAAAAAGCATTGGATTGATCTGTGTTGACTTTTGTCTATAGACAATGACACAGTATTTTTCTTTGGTATTTCAAAAATTGCAAAAGGTTAAAACTTGCTAATAGCATTTGAACAAAACATGAGAGTCAAGGCTGACCACAAATAAAAAGGGACACAGGGAACTAAAATCTGCCCTGTTTCTAACTATTTCAGAAGACATGAGCTCCTTATTTCAATCATAACAGGCTATGASTTTCCTTAAAGAATGACTCTTATTTTTGCACCAGAGGGCTCTTTTGTCTTCAGAGCCATGGCAGGTCTGGAGCCAGTCTGCAGGCTTGCAAATTTTAACTCTGTATAAAGGAAAGGAAAAGAAGATGATGCCACAAATCACTTGCTAGCACCAAACAAAGAATCCAGAACTATCAAAGCACAAGAAATCCTCGGTTCATGCTGCTTTGCTTCTGTCAGCACAGGATATAAAAGCATCTTTGGTTCTGTGTTTTGATAATGGAAATGAGTACCTTGTCATGCTATAAATCGTTGCTGAAAGACTTCCTAAGTGAACGTGACAGCATTTGAAATGCCCCATGCTGCTGCACTTAAGATTCACCAATCACTGTTAATAGCAACAGATTTACTATTCCAAAACAAATAAAACCTGTAGTTTTTCTSCTGAATGAAGAGCTGATGAACGAAAACAGAGGCAAAATTACCACAATAGCCAGTTACCCTGTCAATGAAAATTACTTTCATTTGTCTGTATTTTCACAAGGATTAGTAAACAATAACACTTCTGCTAAAATAGTTTTTGTTATATTCAAATTGAATGTGAAATACAGGCTGACATTATAAATGGATCTCTTATTCTTTTGCCCTGAATTTTTTACTTCTTCTGAGTCTTTATGTTTGTGTTGGTTTGTAAGTTTGAAATATTTTAGTATCAAGCCTTTTAAATGTGTTTCATTTTTCCTTCTAGTTAATTCAGGACAGTCCTGCTTGTTGCTTGAAGGAGAAAGGTATCTATAGCTTTCCCTCACTCATTAGGAGCCAAGGGAATATTTTATATTATTGTAGTAAATCYTACAGAGTTGTCTTGAAAATACACATGGTAAGATGTCTCTGCAAATAATTCCTCCCACCTTCCAGGTTTTGTGAATTTCTTTCCTTGAAGTCACACAACAGTTTTGGTGCTCCCAGATGCTTTGTACCACCAGGAGGTTTTACTGAGTTGCACCTCATGTCCCCCTTACCATGGGGAGTGGATATAGATCTGCTTAAATCGATTCCTTTTCTTCCTTTTTTTTTTTTTTTTTTTTTTTTTTTTTTTTTTTTTTTTTTTTTTTTTTTTTTTTTTTGCCTATTGAATTCTGCTACTTTTGTCACCTGGTCACACTTCTTTTCATCTGACTTTGTCCTCAATTTCGCACTGAATTCAAGGCTTCTCTCTAAGCCCTCCTTAAGCACTCTTTTTCATCGAGTGGCCAAAAAAATCCTTTTCTTTTTAAGCTAACTGAGCATCTATCAAAGGGCTCCCTTGTGGGCTGCACAACTCAGGACCTATGAGTTGGGAAATTTCAGGAAACCAAGGCAACACAACCTCCCTTGGATAAACATGAGGCAAACCAGGTAACAATTCCTCAGATTGAGGTGTGTGGTTAAACTGGCTGTGCCACCTTTGCTGGGCAGTCTCCCAAAAAGCTTTAAGGGACTCACGTTGGGARTACAGAAGGGATGCTCAGGCTGATAAATCTGCGTGGGATGACTCACGTTCACRGAGTAAAGAAACTAATTCAGGAGTTCTGACCTAACAGGAAGGCAGATGTAATAATGGATCTTGTCCTTTAACAGACCAACTGCTCTCTCGCAGCTGGCTTCCCTAAACAGTTACACTGGGGATATTTTGGACAGCAAGAAAACTTTGTAAACTTGCCTGTATGCATTCAGAAAACTTCCACAGATCTCACCCACTCTGAAGTCTTTGGTTTCATTAAATTAAAAAAAAAAAACAAGAAATCCACAAAAAACCTGAAACCATCTCTTCAACTCTCATCACTACTCAATGCAAATGATAATTTTAAAAGTAATGTCTCTATTTTTATGTGTTTAAAATCATCCCTCTTGTGGAAAGTCTCAGCTTAAGCTTTTCTTTTTTTTTTTTTTGGATAGTGACATTAATTTAGCTTTTCTTTTCTTTCCTTCTAGGAGTTTCATACTTGATTTTTATGGATACCTTTAGCTTTTATGGATGTCATCTGATCATTTAAAAAAATGAATAATGTAATGCTAAATCGCATGGTGCCAGTGTTACATAAACATGACACCTTTACCTACAGTGTTCCATCCAAATTAATTTTAAAATACAAAAAACTGTCTGTGAGTTTGGGGCTGTAGTGGCTATGGCTCTTTGTAGAGCAGATGCTCAGTGAAATTAGAACAGGGGTACCTGCAGTGCCAGCAGTGACTGAGGAACAATTACATGGATAAGCAAGAAGGTGTTCATTCTGCTTTGTTGAGTGTTGTTATCTAAACCTCCTTTGCTCTTTAAGCTGTGTTTTCTTATTCCATTTTGCATTACAACCCCAGTCTGTAGCCCAGAATTCTAAGTAGTGTATAGCCAGCCAAGACCTGCAGTCCCTGGTGTCTTTAGGATGCACAGCTAAAACTCTGCCAGAAGAGGTAGATTGCAAAGGACCTGGGAATATTAGCAGAATTGGGGAACAGCCTGGGCTATACCAGATGCTAGATGGGATTGGGAAAGCAATCAAGAACCCAGAGAAGTTGGAATTTAAACATTATATATGAAAATTGAAATAAACTGGAAGAAGGAGGGAAGCACTGGTGACTAGACTAAACTTAGTTCAAAATCCAGCACTTTCTGTCTGACTATGGAAGAACGTAGCACTTATTAATRATGAATATTTCTCCAGTAGATGGTGAGAAATACACTTTTTTTTTTTAACCCAGAAAAAAATTCTATTTCTGTAATGACACAGGAGCAAATCACAACAAGATAGAATGTAGGGCTCTAAACTTCTCATGGTTCCCCTACTGGGCAGCCAAATGTCTAGGAAACCTTTCAGCACTAGACTTTCCAGTGCACCCAGTTCCTTGAGGGCTGTGGGAGGGAGGCAGGGAAGAGGGAGGTCTCTACAGCAATGGGGAGGATACACAGGTTTTTCTCTCAAAGGCAGAGTCTCTGTCTCTTACCCTGTTGCACGAAGGATCCATAGACAAACCACATGGAGTTGTAGAGGGTTGTAGACGTCATGGATCCCATCTGAAGGCGCGGGGGGTTGAGCCAGTTCAAGAGGTAGACCAGGAGCCCTACCAAGAGCACCGTGCCAGCAATGCAGGCCCACAGGGAGAGGTCAAAGGGTGCCAGGCAGGCAAACATGTCCACGGTCTTCTCCGCCTTCCGCAGCAGCACGCCCACCGAGTAGTCCATGTAACGYGTCGTGAAGTCCACCACGTTCTCCCTGTCAGGGGTGATGGTCAGGGCAGAGATCCCTATGTCAGCTCTCTGAGGGGAGGAAGAGAAAATAACACACATGAGTAGGAGCTACCAAAAGCGTCGTGGCACCTCTGTGATTCACGGCAGCTGAACTTAGGGAGAGTCAGACGGCAAGACCAAGGTGTTCAGCATCACATGCTGTCATTGCACAGAAATGGGACTAAGGCTTGAACAAAGCAGATAAACTATGTGTCTTAGTTTCTGCAAGCAAACCTTACTTGGTGGATTCCGGCASATCAGTTCTCCTTGTTGTTATTTTTCAAGAAATCAGAATACAGATAATACCTGGAGGAAGTCTACTTTTGATCATTTTTGTCACCCTGGCTTACTCAAGCCATCACTGCCATTGTGGCAAAAGGCAGATTTTGTGCATAGCAGATCCAATAATAGCAAACTGCCTGACAGAGCCAAATTTATCAAATATTTGATTATTATTTGATGATCATAACAAAGGGCTACTACCCCAGGAGTACCTGAAATTCCATAAATCATCAATTTTATCTGCCAAGTCTAGAGTGCAGAAGAGCAGATAATGCAYGCAGTTCCTTTACAATTAATTCCTCTATATCCTCCTGATAAGCAATTCCTCCAGCAATGCCARCCTGTCCTGCAGCTACCCTGGACTTGCTTTGTGCCATTTCCATTTTTTTATAGTTTGAAGAACCCATTTCAGATAAGAAGAGGATGAATAACATTTCTCGCTCTAATCATTGTATTTCACACTGTGTATTAGGTCTCCAGGGACACCGGGCACAACTACAGCAGGTGCTCCTTTACTTTTCACAGGTACAATTAGAACTTCAGTGAAAACAAGAAAGGTTATTTAAAGCAGACACATGAATACCATTTTAAAAAGCGGYAAGACCACAAATTCTAGATGTTTTAATATGACAAAAGAATACTTAAAATATTTAAACTTCTACTACAGCTCAATTGAATCCATTTTAGTTCTGTCTAAAGTGGTGTGTGTGGTCTTTTGAAAGGGGGTTAGGAGAGGACAAAAACTTGAAAGTACTGAGTCGAATTTTATTAACTCTCTTGAATTTCTTTCTTTTTGCCCAGAGAAGGCAGGGATTCCTAGTTCCTTAGAAATGTAATTTGAAATATTGAGTGGGAAGGTATGGCAGCTGAAACTGATTAGAAAATTTTGTAAATCAACCGGGCTCTTTCAGTATGATGTGCAAAACACTCTGCAGACCATGGTACAAACCTACTTCCTAATCACAGGGCACTTAAGACTTCAGTTTAAATGATGTTACTTTAACTTTATATTGATTGTTCACTGGCTTGAGAAAATGGCAGAGGATAGCTGGAAGCCTGGTGATTTGGACAAAAAAAGAATTTGAAAATATTGATTTTCTTAAAAGCTATGAATTAGAGCTTCAGCTTTACTTTGTGTGTTAAATTCTCCAGCGTCATAAGTGAAGTTGTGTTGATGAGCAGAGCTGAAAGCATGGCTTCATGAACTCACTTCAGGTCCCTTCCTAACAAATTTTTGTGAGTGATGACCCAACTGCCCTTTGCCCATGGGCAGCAGTGAACTCGGTAATTACAAATTATCCATGGAAACATTCAGGTTATCTGAGAGTTTCTATCCTCTCATAAAACTTCTGCTCAATGAGTGACTCGAGTGATTCACAGCATCTGCTAACAGTCAACTCCTAGCTCCAAAGAGCAACATGCAAACCAGCCATCATTTGAACTGTTTTCCACAACTGTGAATACAAATATGCTTCTAAAAGAATTTACAAATATAAAAGTCCAATAGTTKTCAAACATGAAATTAGGATTGTATTTAATGAATAGCATAGGTTTGGGGYTTTTTCCCCTGAATGTATATCAAAAAGAAAAATAGAAATTTAGGGGTAAAGGAGAACACGTGGAAACAAAAGGTCCTAGACTCAGCCTCTGTCATTAACTTGGCTGGGTTATTAATTATCAGCATATTACTAAAATATTTCCCTACCATCCTGATCATTTTAAGTTRCTCATTCCAGTTGCCCTGTTGTAAGATGCTTACAGATTCTCCATTGAAAAGCAATGTACACCAGTAAAGATACTTTTACCAAATAATAGCTGACTGTATGACTAACAGAATTTTCTTCTGCTTTCCCCCTGCTTTTTACACCAAAACTTTTTTTTTTTTCTCCATTAAATACACTGAAGAAGATTACATGAAAAAAACAGACCACATCGGATCTATGGAAACAATACTTGTAGCTTGCATCTCTGGGAAGAAACCTCTCCACATTGCCCAGAATKATGGTTCCACTCCAGTTATCAGCCAACTGTGACAGTGGAACAACATTGTGTGAATAGAAATGCTGCGTTTCCTTTGCTGTACTGCAGCAACGTTGTGATATAATTATGTCTTGCTACTTTATATGCTACATATGTAATTAAGGCTTTGAGGTGACCTWATTGCAGCCTTCTAGTACCTGAAAGGAGCCTACAAGAAAGATGGAGAGCGATRTTTTTTCACAATGGTCTGGAATGACAGGATGGGGGGAAATGTCTTATACTGGAAGAGAGTAGGTGTAGATAAGATATTTGAAAGAAATTTTTTACTGTGAGGGTGGTGAGACAGTGGAACAGGTTGCCCAGAGRAGCCCCATCACTGAAAGTGTTCAAGGAAGGACTGTGATGGTGTGAAAAATATCCTGCCCATGGCAGCAGGGTTGGAACTAGGTGATCTTCAAGCCATTCTGTGATTCTATGTGTCTTTATTTCTTGAGAAGTAGTAAAGTGAAAAGCAGAAAGGAGAGACATAAATCCTGACTTCTTAACATTCCAGTGTTCAGCTGTTAAAAAAAAAAAAAAGCTACACTGAAATATGAAAACTCATATTCTTAAATTGGATCATAAACATCAGTTTCCCAGAAAACTACATGTTAAYGCAAACCCAAACTAAAGCTTCATTCGATACTTGATTTACTGATAGTGAGCATTCTTGATTACATATAGATTCTGTCATCTTGTTTCAAAATTGGAAGATGAAAAAAATTAAATGCTTGTCATTAACATGTCAGATTGGATCAGAAAAGACATCAGTTTGAAGAAGTAAAGGTTCACTTAGTGCTTTTGAGATTGAAAGGCGAGTGCATGCAATTATGTCAATATTTAGATACAAAGCTGCCAATCTGAATTATGAACATCTATAGCTCTCCACTCACTAAGTTTTTGCAGTGCCAAAATCAAACCCTGACTGTCTTACACATTTCTCATGAATGAAACAGTGACTTTGGAAACGGATTGAAAAAAACAGTGGAGGGCATTATTTTGTGTGACCTGCTTAGGAATTTATATTTATCTTCCTCAGCGGCAGTTCTCCCGAGGCCATTGTAGAGCAACATTACCAGAATGAGAAAATCCAACAGAAATGACCAAATGGGTCTCATAGCATTTCTATTGGTGTCAYAGAACCAGCTTATCAGCAAAGCCTAGAAATCCCTGAAATGTCCCTAAGCTACTGCTTTAGCAAGCACATCTCATATACATGGAAACCAATCTTCTGCTGATTCCTGTGGTTCATGATCAAAACCAGGGAAAATGAATGAAGGTGTTCTAAACTGGTCCTATGAGGCCCTTCTTTTTATCCATTTTCAATGTTAAATCAAGTTTTAGCAAAAGGTAGAAGTGACGGGACGCAGTCCCACATTACACAGTTATTAATATGGACAAACAAAAACCAATCAGAGAGMCATTTTTACTCAATACACATTCATCCAAATAATTCTCCTTTTACTCAGCTATTATTTTTTCTTCTCATGCTGTCTTTTCTGTTTTTTTTTCCTTCTCATGCTATTCCCCTTAGGAAGGTGCAAYAAAAAAAGAACCTTGTAAGAGGCTCCTACTTGATTTGCAGTTTCTCTCAGAAATGATTAAGCCTGGATTTTTCCTTTTCTGACGGACCCAAGTGAAATCAGGCTGTTTTCCCTATACTATTTGCTTCCTCGTGGCTCTCCATTGGAAAAAAAAAAAAAAATCCTTGCAATCAAGGTAGCATGGCAAGATGTGGAAAGCAATGGTTGACGGAGGTGAGTATCACCAGAAAGCCCAGAGCCATGCTGCAAAGCTGCCTGTGCTCTCCCAGARGTGGCATAAGCCACTTCTCTTGCCTGTCACACAGCCTCATCCCTCAGGCAATCTGGACAGAGGGCGACTAAAGAAATCAMTGTGAGAAGACACAGATAATTAACAGTATGAGAAAGATTTGTGGCAAAGCACTGCTCCCTTGAGATGGTTTTAGCCTCTTCATGGAGGGCTGCTGCTCYCTGAACTAATCCTATTTGTGCGATGAAGCTCTAGAGGATGCAGTGAGAGCCCTGGTCATTTGACAGGAGAGGGACAAGAGCACCACGTGCTTCTCTCAAAGAGCATTTATTCTCTGAAGATCACCTGGTTCAGATGTTTAGCAGGCAGAAAACTGTATAGCATGACTACTTTCAGGTTATTTTGACTAGAAAAGCTGCATGGACAAAGTCTGTACCTAATATTGGTCTTGACTGTCAAAGTAGGGGAGCTTTGAATCAGTTTCCAAGTTCAAATTAAAGACCACTTACTATGTTCTGCTGATTCCAACCCCTGTTTTAGCAGCCAACAGAAACCCTGTCTCTGAAGCTGGAACGGAGTGAACTTGGCACAATGTCACGTCTGCGGAGCCAGCTGTGGGCACAGGGCATGTACTTGGCACAGCTGGGCTCCTGCCCTGCCATCCAACTCCAGCAGGGCTGCTGCAAACAAGAGCAGGGCTGCACCAGAGACTGCTGCATGCTGGAGATGATTAATGCAAGCACTGAATATTGATCTGGAACACAGAGATCATGTGGTTGCTACAGCAACTGCTGTTTCACATGGCACATCTGCAGTGACCACAGACACCTTTCTCAGTGAGATGCTCCCTGCAACTGCCTGAAAGGAGGTTGCAGCAAGGTGGGGATTGATCTCACGAGTAACAAGCAATAGGACAAGAGGAAATGGCCTCAAGTTGAGCCAGCAGATGTCAGGAAAACTTCATTCACAGAAAAGGTGGCCAACTGTTGGAAAAGGCTGCCCAGAGAAGTGTCTGAGTCACCCTYCCTGGAGGTATTTAAAAGACAAGTAGATGTGGCACTTCGGGGCATGGTTCAGTGATTGACTTGGCAGTGCCRGGTTAGCAGTTGGACTCGATATCTAAAGGTCTATTCCAGCCTAAATGGTTGTATGATTCTGTGCACTCAAAAAGAGAAGGCAGCTATTTTCCATTACCCTTGAGTGAGACTTGTCTTTTGCAGAGCTCATTTCTGGCTGACACACTAACAGGGAAAGACTACTCCCACTGTTTCTGGAATTCCTCCACTTGTTGGCCAGACTATCATGCAAAACTTGGTTGGGAAAACAAGGAAACGCTGTGTTTCAAACAGGTTAGGTCTTTAATTTAAAACTATGCTCTGCTCCTTTACTTCCCCTTATAAGGTTGCCAAGCGGATGGAAATTTGGGTACTGGGAGCAGAACTCRGTTCACAGCAAATAAGAAAGCAGCCTTTCAAGAACAGCTTGCACTTGGTCAGGGGTGGACAGACACTGGCGGCTCGCCCAGAGGTTCTTTTGCCTTAAGAGGGACAGAGAATGGGAGAGAAGAACACAGTGAACCTTAACTGCTAATTAATTATCTAAGGGTAAGGAAGATGAAAAATGATACACTGCCGTAGCATAGGGAAAACACGAGTTTTGAATTCCAAATGCAGTTCCATTAAGTCTTTACACACTGTAATGGCACAGAAAGATTTCATGAAGACTTTGGCCCTGAAGACTCATTTACAGCAAAATAATAACAGACTGGTAAATCTGTTGCACTTGAGACATTGATTTACAGATCTGGGTGGCTACCACCTTAAATGAGCTATTCCTTTGAATCCCTGCCTGCCCAGGSGACAAGAATGCCATACATGTTTTTCCTTTGAGCCATTTCAGTTGTTATGAGTTCTGCTGGAAGAATCACTTGTTGCAAATAAATAAAAAAACATTCCAGGCCCACTTTCATTTCCAGACCATCCAGGATTGAGACTCCTCCAGTTTATGCTATGCAGCGGCCTGATGAGAACTGAAGGAGTAGGTGTAGCATAAAAACAAATTTAGAGGCAGAAAGAATGGTTAAAAATAAATCAATTGTCCATTGTGGTCTTACATCTCAAAATCATATGAGGGATTTTTAGTCAAGGTTTAAAAGRTGATGGAAAATATACTTTTCTAACTGTCTCCAGCTTCTTACCATTTATGAATACACAGTTCCASCTTCCAGCTTCACAAGGACATATGGAGATGCAAAGGAAGTTTATTACTACAGTGTAGATATATGAATTGTGCTATGGGCACAGAATGAGTGRCTGTTTTTTTCCATTCCAACAGGCTTCCTGCTGTTCAGGAAGGCAGAATAGGTTAAACTTACCAACTTAAAACTTTAACCCATAAGGTTAATACTTTCTTTAACCCACAGAGGTTAATATTTTCTCTTTTTAAAGATTTATTTTCTTTTTCCTTATTGCAAGACTTAAGTCCTGTATCTGACCAGGATGCTCCTCACCRTTTGCAGTGCTTATGAATTAAATTCCACCTCCAGATTTGGAAAAACACTTCTACAACCAGTGTCTAAGTTATTTACATGAATATTTACTGCAGTTCTTTAAGGAAGCACAATGAATGTAGGTCTCTATAATTGTAAAAGCTGCCTCTTCATGTTAATTAAGAGCAAATAAAATGCATATATTCATGGTACAAATGAGGCATAGGCAGAATAAAGTCTGCCTAGTCTTTTTCCTCTCAATGGGAGAAACTGCAAACAGATTGGATGTGAGGAGTGGGCAAAAAGAAAAAAAAGAAAAACATTGCATATTCATTTGGTTCAATTTATTTATGATATAATATGGAACAAATGAAGTCAAATTAAGTAGTCTAACTGGTTTATTAATTACAGAATAGATAATATATTACTCTTGATTCATACWTCTACATAATGTGTTATTATATATCAATAAAACATTTTCTGTTGATTATATACTTCATGCATTCATCACACCAACATTTTTCTAAGTGTTATACATTATTTATGTAATGTATCACTAATTACTGCAACACCAATTTTTCCTCTTTTGAACAGCCTCTTCAACCCATTTGTGTCAGGTCTTGCCAAACTAATTAGGATGCTGTGCATCCCATTATTTGACTGCATTTAGATTTTACTTTGGTTGGGGAAAAAAGAGATTGCCCTGCTTCTTAAACAGCTACCATTACAGCGTTTGTTATTTCCAGTTTTTTTGGTACTGCCCGATGCACACCATCAAGTGTTGAAAAAAAGTCCTATCAATTACTCATAAAAAAGGTTACTGGCTGATGCAAACAAAACATACCACATATTGCATAGCCTYATCACATGACCTTATTTAGTAAATTATTAATGGGCTTACCTTAAACACCAGTTCTCCTATCAGGCCGTTCCACGACCCATCATCCTGAGGACTCCCATACTTGTGATCTGGTGCTACGTAAATTTCATACTTAAAGCCGAGGTAAGTGGCCAAWGCTTCCAACACGTCTATTGAGAAGCCCTGATACTTCTTTGGTTTTCCCAGAACATTTTCAGACACCATGACAAAGGGCTCTTCCTAAACAAAAAAACAAAGGAGGAATCTGTTAATAAAGCAATGAMATGCCATGTTTAGGTGCTGTTTGTTTTTAAATAAAGGAAGAACTATTCAAATATTATTCATACAAAAATCTCCTAAAATATATTGTTAGCAGTGCCCCTTAAATTCTGTGAAATGCTATTTCGTTTTGGATTTCCTTCAACAGAGAAATTTTATTCTCTACTTTATATTTCAGAAGTAGACCTTTTGCTGTAACATTTCAACTGAAATGCTTTCTAGGAATGCCAGCTGACCACACTTATGGTCAGCAGGACAGACATCTGGCTGTAAATATAGAAAATTCGACAGCACTGCCATTTTGCCCTAGCTGGGCAAACACTGTACCTAATGCAACCACTAATTCATGTTGGAAGGAAAGAAAAACATGCCAAAACTGAAACATGAATTGTTCTTGTCCTTGTAYTGTAACCTCAATATAGGCCAGTGAAATTTAAATAGTTCTGTCCAAAGAAATTCCATTTGATGAGTTTAGGGACAATCAACTATWGTAGTTAAGGTTGTCTATAAAAATGATTGCTAAATATTCCTCTAAAAGATGGCCRTCATAAAGGATACATACAGACACCCAAAGCTGGTACTGAAAGGTGGACAGCTAAGGACCACACAGCCAGTACCASCTGCAGCAACATGAAAGCCAGGAGGCAAAGGTTTTTTGGGTGAAGCTGTGCATATTGCTTTTTATGGCTGTAGGAAGACAAAGCCTGGCTTCAGAGGTGATTACACCCCCCCAAAGCAGGACAAACTGCAAAATGCTAGACTGGCACATCTTAGGAAGGATAAAGGTGAACACATGATCAAGGCAACATAGCATAAAAAAGGAACAAGTTGGGCAAGATGAYGTGATAGTATGAGTACTTAGGGGAAGTAGCTCATGAAAATGTTTGTCTCCATTAATTTCCCTGTTATGGCATGTTTTAAGGAAGACGCCACACATTAATACTGATACATGTTAACAACATGCTACATATCAAGAGTGATATAATTTAACATCACAGAATCCCCGGAAACTGATGCGAGATGGTAYAGCCTTATCTCTGGGTCCTAGCCATGACCTCTCCTAAATTCAAATTCCAAGCAAAAATTAACCTAGTCTGGCCACAGTTTGCTAAATGCTTCATTATTKAAAAGTACAAAATACAGTTCTTATTTACTCTGATAAAATTCTCAGATGTACCAATAATTAGGATACAACAGCTGGTTTGAARTAATCTTTTCACATCCTTTACTATACACCCTAATAAAAGTTAAAAATATGAAATGAGAGAAAAGATTTTGGGCACAGAAGACCTTCACGCTTGAAAACAGAAGGAGCAATACTAAAGTTAATAGCAGAAAAGAACAATTAGGGCTGAGATTAACTTGGTTGTGTTAATTAATTGGACAATCAAAGAGAAACATTTGCTTGTAGCTGTGCTACAGATGTGGATGATAAAGTCAAGCAATAAATTTTGGCCTTAGAAAAGGCAGGGAGGGAGAAGAGGAGAATGATTGCTTTTCAGAAGTTCAGTTCTCTAAACCCAGAGTCTCTATTTGCGATGGTTTTTAGTCAGTAGTGATTCTAAATTCCAAGCTTTGATAGTAATCTTTTAGTTCCACAATGAAAATCCAGTTTTAAAGGCTTAGTATTTTTGCACAGATCACCTCTTTTTGAATAAATTACAGAAAACATTATGGAAAGAACAGAGAGGAACCATTCAGATCTTAAATACAGCACCATAATGAAATACATGAGAGAAGAAAAAAGGTGTGTTCTGTGGGCTGTTTACAAGGAAGGGGTGGTCTTAGCTCAGCTGTTCATGATTTTACCCATGCCAATCACTTCATTAGGAGATCATTGAATGGCCAATAAGGTAAATTTTTTTTTTTTCTGCAATTACAATCATGGATTCTGTGGCTTTATTTTGAGACTTTCTTGGTCAGCTGAATCCTTTTTGCCCCTTAGCATGGACAGAAAGACTTCCTAGCCAGGGCACTATACAGAAAATATTCAGTAAAGAGAAGGTTACTGGCTTTTGAGGTTAGAGAAAACAATCGCCACTGGGACTTACAACTAACATTGGAGTCTTATGTCCTTGTACTATGTTTGGAAGAATTSCYRTGYTCAGGTTTAAGCCCCTCACCAAAASAAAGACACTGAGGKRCTGGAGTGAGTCCAGAGAAGGGCAATGGAGCTGGRGAAGGGTCTGGAGCACAGCTCTGATGAGGAGCAGCTGAGGGAGCTGRGGGTGTTTAGTCTGGAGAAAAGGAGGCTCARGGGGACATYACTGYTCTCYAYAAGKACATGAAGGGAGGTTGTGRMAAGGTGGGGATTGGGCTCTACTCCCAAGAAACAAACTATAGGACMAGAGGAAATGGTCTAAAGTTKTGCCAGGGGAGGATTACTTTAGATATTAGGAAAAATGTCTTCACTGAAAGGATTGTCAAGGTRTAGAACAGGCTGCCCAGGGAAGTGGTGGAGTCACCATCCCTGGAGACAATATAAAGATGYGTAGATGTGGCAYTTTGGGACTTGGCARWGYKGGGTTAATGGCTGGACTTGATGATCTTAAAGGTCTTTTCCAATCTAAATGATTCTATGAAGAGRGTTTTGAAATTAGGTAATTATATGGGTGGTTAGAATTCAAAAAGCRTATTGAAAATGACCTCTGTATCTACTCATCAAAAATTTCTTGACACACTGGAATATAACACTTTCATAGTGACACTGTATTCATTCAGTAGGACTCTGCATTTATTAAATTTTCCCTTTTTCTCTACTGATGGTAGCGAAAAGAAAAAGAAAAAAAGAAAGCAAGAAATGAAGCTCAGTTGTTGACACTGACTTTAGAAACAGTGGACAGGAACATTAAATGATTCCTATAGGCCAGGCTGAGCCTTGGCAATCTCAAGAAGCAAATATTCACTTAAAAAACTCCCATTCCCCACAAATGTTAAGAAACTGCTCCCCAAACTGAAATTCACTCTCATTACTAGATTTCTCAACTCCCTTCCAATGGCTGCTGGATGACGAAGCAGAGCCATTACAACCCACAGGAAACATTAAGTCTGATAGACTATAACCAAAATATTTCCAAGCATAAGGTGCTTGGAAGTCAAAATCACTTGTCTTGTTAGTCAAAATCACTTTTTCCTTGACTCATAAATTAATTAATGTACCCCTTTTAAATGTTAGTMATTTTGCCTTTCCTTCCCTAAAAGATTTTAGTGAAATATGCATCTCCAAATATTAATTTCCTCAAGTGCTTTATTGACCACTGTTTTGGGGATTTTATTTGGCTAGGAACAGCACAGYAGCTTGTTATTTTTAATTGAACAACAATGTACATAATTCATGTTAGAATCAATGACCAAAATTTAATTGAAACATTTTATTCTTTCATTACAGAAATTATCCCACTATCAAGTTATAAAATTGCTGCAAAACTAAATACATTCCCCATGCCTTAATAACAGTAAAACAAACATGAAGGTTTCAAATCTTCAAGATCCTGGATAATTAAATACTATACTCATTCRATATCCTATTGTGCCAATGGGCTTTTGGTGCTGTATTAGCACCAAAAACCACTGCTCTCTGATCTGTGCTTTTCAAACAGATTGATTAGAAAGTCAGAACTAACAGAAAAGTCACCTTATCTACAGCAAGAAGCTCATTCACATCCCAGAAATGGAAAAAAAAAATTAAGGGGATTTTACATTTGGCCTTTGCCTACCACAATTCTTATACATACAGTTAGTCTGCTACATTTTTGGATGATATTTTTATAGTTWTCTTCAACAAGACATGAAGTTTATTTTTTCATTTACAGTATTTTAAAGAGTATTTTTTCCTCCTAAGTGAAATGGTTCTGGACTTATTACAGTCTTTAGCACAGTTTAAAAGAAACAGACAAAGAATGTGAAACCCTCTTCCCAGGTCCTCCCATTTCTCAGCAACAGGACTAAGACTTCTTTCACAGCGATCTACAGCAATGGTCTATTAGGATGCTGCCAAGCTTTGTGTATTGATTTTAATTCAAAATAACTTAATGCAGGTAACAGCTCTTTCTGAACCATATGATAGGAGTATGGATTGAGACTGGAATTGATTGGAGTGTTTTAGAGCATGTCTGAAGAGTACAACGGTGGCTTTAATGGAGCTAGCTCAGATACTTGAATTAGCAGAAATGTGGTATGGGTACACTAACCTGCCGGGACCTACACTGCTCTCCTTTTGGAGCCTTGCAAGGGCTCCTRTTCATACCAGCCTCTGTCATGAAGKTCACCTCCTTTTCCATCTTCCACAGAGCACGGAAGGATAATTACCGTGAGAGTAAGAACCTCTTTCTGTTTAAAAGTCAAATTTGCTCTGTGAATGGTGTGAATTGCTCTGGAATGCAAATATGCCTGCAGAGCAGATGGGTAAGGGTCAGCAAGGAGATAAGAGCCAAGGAGCCCTGAGAGGCAGCCCTTGACACAGAGATGAGTTAGGTTTGTCCTACTGGGCTTTGCATTGCACCTACCTTGCTGTCAAGCTGTGGCCCCAGCCAGGTCCCAAAACATTTGAATTGCTTGATATCCACCTTACCTAGTGTATAATACCTGCTGCTTTAGAAAAATGGATTGAAAATAATAATAATTGAAAAAAAAAGGTGCTGGGTTTCCCAGCAGGCTGTGAGATTAAAGCTTGTCAAATGAATGCTCACAGTAGGCATGTGCAGCGTGAATAACTGTAAGGTTTATGACCTGTTTTAATACAAGCTAGGTAGCTCAAAGTGACATAAAATAACTATTAAAAAAGGCCTGTGCCCYGTCAGTAACAATTTAAATTTGGCCCTTGTACAGGTGGAGGAAGAGGAACAGAAAGACAGGTTCTGCCTCTATCAAGCAACTCTTTCTGCTCTTTTAATAATGGCTTTAATTATTACTATTTTGGGTACTACTGCAGTCCAATATACCAATACAGAGAGCAATATATAATTTGCCTCAATTAAAACTACTTTTCTTAAAAGATTGCAGGCACTAGTTCAGGAAAGTGCTGCTTGACAGAATAAAGATACTTTACAGAAGCCCACAGCATTCAGTCATGAAAATAGGGAATGGGATGGGGACTGAATGAGAAAAGTGGTCACCAAAAATATTGGRAGAAAGTATAAGAAACATTATCTATGAGACTTTTCCACACTATTATAAAATATGTATTCAATATTTTATGAGGTATCTTGCACATAATCTTTCCTGAAGTTCATTTCTATTGTACAGTCATTCTCTGATGTTTTTGTCCTGACATTTTTAATCCTTTGTCACTTCTGACTGTTTGTTCCTTTGCATATGCTTAAATACTGTTTTATTTCATCTTTCTTATGCCTGTCCTTTTCCCAATCACTCTGCAAGTTACTCCAGCTTCTTGGAAAGAACTTTTTTTTTTACTCTCTTTAAGCCAGTGTTGGAAGTCAAATCCCAGACAGCTTCAGCTTTTGAAACCAGGCCTTTATCTTGRTATCTTACTTTTCATCTTCTCTCTGAGTGGTAAATTCAACAGCAAAAGGGACTGAAGATGTAGACCTCCTGCCAGCTCATGTCCCTAATGACACTGTCTTGCTTTCAAACGTCTTTCTTTTCTAATCGGGGCAACAAATGCTCATGAATTTGATACCAACCACTGAGAATTAAACTAGTCCATGTATGAGAACATTTTCCATGGTACAAATGATAGCTCTTAATTATTTTTTTTTCTTTGCTTATCTGCCCTTTTGCCAGTTCTTTCACTACATCCTGCCCCACAGTGCCCACCGGCAGCCAAGGGAGACAGACCTGCAGCTCCGTGTGAGTAACCCGGGTAATAACTCTCCAAATATATTGTACAGGGATGTATGGCAGCACATAATTCAGCATGCCTTGCTGTCATCTTGCTTTCCTTTATCCTGCTTGCCTTCTTAGAACCCTCCAGATATGAAAACACATTCCTGTCTGGGAGCTGTTCTGAATTTTCATGTAGAGTCACAAATATCTTTTGCACCATCAGGATATTATGCATAAGGCTCTGTACTTTTCAGTCAAGGTGTTAATGCTTTAAAACAGGGAAAATCAAACTTTTTCCTTTTTCAAACAACAGGGGCTTTTTTAGAAATATGATTTTATAAATATCTGCTGGCCTATTCAATGTCMAATGGGCCAAATGTCATTCCATTTCCAATGTCTTAATATTCATATGAATAATTCAATAAGTGCCATGGATAGTAAAATAGTATTATGAGAATATCTGCTGAATTTTAGGTCTTTTTCAATAAAACTGAACAATAGAAAAAGAGCATAAACCAAAATGGATATATAGATAAATTTGTTCTTAGCAATTGTTCATTCAAAACACYCTGAATTTGTTTGGAACTACTGTGCTGACCTTTGATTGCACTAYATTTCAGAAACTCAGAATACATTTCAGAAATTCACCAGCAAGTGACTTGAACTTAAGAGCAACTTGTCAAACACAAAGTTCAAACTTCAGCTTTATGTGTGGAAGCAGTTCAAGACAGAGACATCTGATATTTAAGTTAGACAAAATAAACCTTTTCTAGAAATGTAGAAAGCGCGTTATTAATACAACTTTGATGAAAACATCGAATTACTTGTACACAAACATGACCATAGTTGTCCTCAGAATAAAGAGAAATACTTCTTATTGCTATTTATGCAAAAGAGAGCATTTACATTTACTAYAGAGGAGCCAGGATTCTTTGCCAAGTGAAACCAGATGATTTCCAGTTTCGGGCTATGCTGTATTCTGTCATACTCACAAAAAGGTTTTGGGTTGGGTCTGCAGATATGTAGCCCATAATTTTTAAATTTACTTAGTGAAAGGAATTAGTAGATGGATGYGAATGATGGGAATTGTTCAGCATTTGCTTACTGAAAGACTGGGGAGATAGTTCATAGTCATTTATGATTTTCAGACTCTAGAATGTTTCTTTTCATTAGTATAATGTGGTACAAACCCAGGTGTTGCAATTTACTATCCTCTCAAATTCCACTACAAGTTTTAGAACAAGTCCTTTTCAACTTGAAGGCATAACAACATGAAGTTGGACGAGAAGGGTTGCTATCTAGCAAAGTATGAGATTTGAACTATTAACAAAATAAATATACAAAATTAGTAAACTTCTCAACTCTTAATGAAAAAGATACCTATTAATATTCAAAGGYATTATTATTTAATTTTAATACTTGTTTCCCTAAATCAAAATCATATTGCTGGAAACTGGCAGAATTAGTTAACAATAACTAATCATTCACAGTCTGTATAGATTCTTTACTTTTAACAGAAATGTATTGACTTAGTTGAAGAAGAGCGAGAAAGATGGAAGAGAAAATATAATAAAGATCAGCACTAAAATAAAGTAAATTGGTGAAATCCCTCCTGCTTTCACACCAACAATAAGAATCACACATCTTTATCACACAGGTTAAATATAAATCCCCAGTTTTGTCTTATCCAGTAGATATAAAACTATTGCAGAGATGTGCTCTGTGTTGAACTTTAAATGTCTGTCTTTTCTGTTATTATTAATAGAGACTCCTACCATCTTAGCTAGGTTGGTTTTTTTTTTGTTTTGTTTTGCTTTGGTTTTTTTTTTTTTGCAATCTGATAAGTATTCATGCTATAATAATGTGAAAGAAGAATGCTCTCTGGCAAGGTACCTAAGATAACTGGGGATAAACGAGTAACAGTAGGGAGAGAGGAAAGAACAACTTTGTTTCTCTAAGCAAAATCCACAGATCATTTTTGTCAATGGATAATTATACGGAACCAATTAATATGAGTATCAGGCAAAACTAACACTGCCATTGCCAGCCAWTGCCACCATGATGCTATTTTGATGAACATGCAATTTAAGTACAATCTTCCCCTCTCTGTTACTATTTTTCCCTGTGTATTGATCTTTCTTATTTCGTTGGATTTTGCTATTGTTATTTGGGTTGATTTTGTTTTAGGTTTGTGGGTTTTTTTGGTTGTTRCTTTGGATTTTTTTATTTGTTTTTTATTTGTTTTGTTGTTTGATTTGTTTTGTCTTTTGTAGATACTATCACAGGATGTTCTCTAGTGCACTAAGAGCTGGAACAGAATGTTCACCCTGACAGACAAAGGTGTTTAAATACCCATAAAATAACTGGAGGGGGTACAAAACTGCTCTGTGGCACTGAAAGGCTCTGGTGATTTCACTTGCCACCCCARATGGAGCTCTTCCTTCACTGTGCACTGTCAGCAGTGAAAGCTGTGAAAACTCCTCTTGTCTTGTCTTTATAAACAAGTSTCAGGCCCTCAAACACGAGCAGATAGTAGCAAGAGGGAAAAAGCTCAATATCATCTTCAATGCTCTGCAGCCTTGGATTAACTTTGCATTTGGCCATTGGTGTAAAGAGGGATATATTTCTATATTTCATATTAATTTCTTTTTCTTTATTTCTTAATTTTTTTCCACTCTTAACAGCTTCTCCTGATGCAGAGTTTATGGTGGGGAACACAATGGCCTYGCAACACGAAGTACCTTCCTATTTTGGTAGACATTGTACATTCAGCGTGAAACCAAGAATTTTCCTGCAGCTGCTTAACACAAGATGTTGACTAAGGGGAAGAACCTGGCTGAAGTAAAGCTAGGATGGGACAGCAGATGTTTTACCAAATTAACRTTACTTGCCTTAAGATGACATTGAATAATTTCTGAATGCTATAATTTGTGTCAGACTGCACTCCTTTTGCCAAAGTGATTGGAATGGAATAGTTTAGAGCTTCAGCCAGGTAACTTTAGCTAACAGGGCACTTGAAGTTGCCCTTTATCAGCTTGTATGCTTGTGTTACATAATTTAGAATGTGCTTTTGTAAGAAACAGGTTTTAAGTGTTTGATTCAGTCTGAAATGCTCTGTACTGATAAATGATTTTATTTTGTGGAAAATGATCAATTTTTCTGTTTTTTTTCTTTTTAACCAGCTTAAATCAGACATTCTAATGCCAACTCCTTTCTTGGTAAAATGGTGTACTTAACAGAAAGATGAGGGAAGAGGAAGAAAATACATTCCTACTAGTCAAGAAGATGAGCATCTGCTTACCAGCACAGTCACCACACGCAGAACCACTCCTCGCATGTTATTCTCCAGCTTTCTGTCTGTTAGGGAYCCATTCAGCCCAGTGACAGGATTCCAGCAGCCAAGCTAAAAGAGAAAACAGTGATTATTTCCTCATTGCCTATAAAACTTCGCTGGTCATTCCTCTTAGGTGGCTTCGAGCAGGAACGTATGAAATACACAGAATACCTTCTGGAATCAATGGGATGGAAACTCAGGGAAAGGCTTGTGCACAGATTCATCTCTAAACTGAAAACGAAGCAATTAAGGATACAAGGTTTTGGTTTTAAATACCAGTGGGCAATGGATGACAGCATACAGGATTTGGGGTTATATGCATTGCCTTAAAAGAGGTCAGAGAGGACTTCTATATTACTGAAAARCTTTTAAAATGCACTGTAGCTGTAACAATATTTCTACCTTACTTTCAGTAATACACTAATTGGAGATATAATAGCTACCATTATTTTAGTACGCTGTCTGCTCCAGYGCATCCTTCCTAGTGGAGCTCTGACAAAAGGAATTACACTGGCTTTAATTAAAGCTTATACTACTAATTGCTAATGAAACAGGAGTGATTTTAAACCAGGTTAAAATTCCCATTTAAAGATGATCAAGGAAAAGACCACTGTATAGGTACATCACAGTATTGAGAGAATATTGCAATAGAAAATGCAGAAAAAGAAGGTTTCTGTAGACAAAGTTTTTGCTCAGGAATCTCTTTAGGATTATCTGCCTTTCATTCTGAGTTTGGTAGATACTGACTTGCAATTTAGCTTCCCTGAAAATATAACTTGCCTGTTTTTTTGTATGATGGTAGATCCTTATTTTGAGTAGAGAGAAACAAAAAATCAAACAGCTCYTAGCACCACATACCAACATAACCAGTGTCATTTTTGAAATTTATTACCACACTCAGCTGGCCCGCACAATTATCAGTGTTAAATGCAAAACCAGCAGAAGGACAATGACTGAGTTSAGAGGACTTTGAAGCAGAGTCTCAATTAAGGCAGGTAAACCAATGSCCTATGTAAAGTTATACAGCCAGAGACAGGCACCTGCAGCTACCAGTTCTTGCTCTGAATTGCCTTCTCCATGGTCTGTGAATGMAATCAGGGATGAGCATCTTCTGACCCCTATTTAAAGGAACAAAAGGTTTTGCTCCCTCTGACAAACCAAGATTAACATCAGCAAGTTATTGGTGAGCCAGTGGCCTCTACTAAGACTATTCTCTGAAAAATTCAACACCATAAACTGAGAGAAATATAAACAGTAAAACATCAAAAATATTACTGTAATTTCACACAGATTAATGGAAATGGCAGGTTGCCTCAAACCATCTGAAAGGGTTTGTAAAGAAGGGGAAAACCTTTTCTGACTGTACTTGAACAGGAATTTACAGAAATCATTATTTTCAGTCCTTTGTGTGAAAAGGCTTTGTATACGCGTTTCATAGATCTTTCAAAGCAAAACAGAAAAAAAGAACAAACTTCAAGTAAACATGTTTAACTATTCCAGAAGTCAATAATTTGAAATATTTATTTTCTTCATTAAACCTATTTTAGAGCAACTCCTTTATTTTTAAATTTCTATATATTAATATCAATTCTTTGAAGATGCCTCCTTAAAGAAATTAGTATCTCAAAAAGTAAAAAAAAAAACCCCAACTTTCTKCAATGACATAGAAGCTAGGCTTGACTCAATGGTCTCAAAAGTCTTTTCCAATCTAAATGTTTCCATKATTCTRTTTCCCAAAGCAAGATGGCTGGAAGTGTATTACCCATAATAGTACAGTGAAATGCAGCAAATGTACTCTCACTGTACATTGTACGTGATAAAACACTGCCATCCTACAGAGCAAAGCATTTCACAGTTTACATTTTCTGTACGAGAAACAGTGAAAACAATTCTAAGTTCAGAAAAAAAACTGCATTAAATTAATTTGGTGATTGTCATTCTTAGTCACACAAAGAAACTAATTAGAACTTAGATCCAATTAGCATATCCAAATGTGCTGGATGCATAATTACTGCAGAAACTCTGCTGCTTTTGCCACAACTAAAACCCTAGGAAGCTGATGAAAAGCCTTTTTATTCTTTCGAGGTTAAAGTCCATTTTTAATTATGTACATTAATGGGTACATATTTATTTAATTAAATTTTTAGCCCAACCTTACCTTTTTTAAGGAAAAAAAACCCCACCAACATAACTGATTCTGGAAATTCAGCAGAGCACTAATTTTCCTTTCAGAAGGCACTTTTTGTTTTCAATTATTGTTCATTTAATTTTCAATTCAATTGCTCCTTTATGCAGCTCAGTCATGGTGAAGACAAATGTGCAGTGTCTTGCCAACAAAGTTGAAATTGATTTTGAGTGGGAGCTGCTTACTGTTATTAGGAGAAAACAAATCAACATTTATTGATGACAATTTGAGTTTGTCATTGCGGCAAGGCGCAAATGTAACTACTGCTGAAACATCATGATGGGGGTGGTATGAAGCTCCCTCTTCAGCTTTGTCTCGTTTTACTGCTTCTGCAAAACATGGGCTGCCTGTGCGTTTATTCCTTTTCCTTTTGTTCTCTCCCTGATGGTTGAAATGAGAGAAYAGATCAGACAACAACAGAATCTCTYATTAACTCTGGAGGATTTGTGGAGATGGGTGATGGGAACTCTTACTGAGCACAGGGTTTGTCATCTTCACACCACATGAAATTTATCATTTATAGAGCTTTGTACTTCTGTTGCAGTTTCTTTTATTTATTCTTATGACAGCTTTCACTCTGCTAAGTTTGCTATAATGTGATGAAGATGGAAAAGTTGTCAGTCTTCTACTTCCTTTGATAYCTAATTTGCAATCTCTTTCTGTTCATCCCAAATCCCAGCTTGTTATCCTCACAATCATCATTGTTGAAATGGGCTTTGTTCTCCTGTTTTGCTGGCAAAGACAAAAATTTACTTCCCTTCTTCATTAGAAATTTTTGACTGTATGAACAACGCATTATGGAATGTCTTTAATTTGTATATCAATATTAAAGTAGGAAAAATGTATTTCATGTGCACTTGCAATTTCATTATTTATAAGGAACGTGATACACTAAAATCTATAACGCCTTTATGACAGAGCTTACAGCCAGTTTTCCTCCCCTACTTCCTATTCAACTAGGGAACTCTGATGAATATCTGAGAATACTCTTTTTCTTTTTTTTTTTTTTTTTTTTTCCCAGCAGATTGTGTCAATTAATCAAGAAAGATACATTGGTATGATCATGGTTGAAGACAATCAGAGAAGATGAATAAAACCAGAATATTGATACAGATGAATTACTCAAGAGCTTGCCACTACATCAAAGTTTAGGGTGTTCAATTAAAATAGAAAACATACAGGAGCTGGTTTGTCCAGCACTGCAATGCAACCACRTGGGAACTCAGATGGTATTTCCATAACACTGCTGAGAGTCAAGAGGAAACACTCCAGAGAGGGTGCAACTGAAATCTAAAAGATAAAACTCCACTGCATCCACACCTGAAATCCGTAAGGACATTGGGATCACTGACTCCTCTTTCATTTATTTCTCTGGCACTTAAAGAAAAAAGCCCCCAACCGTATCGTGTTTTCAGTATGGACAGCCTGACAAAAAATTTCCAGCAGAAACAGAGCAATTCACAGAGAGCTGGGCACCCACAGAAATAGCAGCCTCCTTGATTGAAGTACCCACAGGCTGTTCAGAAACTCCCTCCTCAATTTCCATCCAGGTCCAACCTGCTTCAGAAACTGAATTCCTACAAGATCCAACTTCAACAGAAGAAATGTGCGTTAATAATCCCCTTTTCCATTCCAAAGTATAATAAATTCACAGAAATGGAAAAGACCCCATGAAGCTGTCACTAAACAGCACTGAGCTGGAAGATTTGAATTCCCAGGAGTGCTGGGAAGACTCGAAATGGGATACAGAATAAAAAATAATGAAGAAAAAGATGGAAGTTTTTTTGGTGATGTGTGAATTCAGCATCTGCCATATTTTCTAGGAYACCAGTTTAGGCAAAATTCAAGCAGGACAACACAGAAATTGTTTTGCACAGAGAATTCCAGATGTCTCTTGTCAGCTGTTGCTTAATATATCCAACAGCAACTGGGAAATCACAGAGTAAATCCTATTGATTAAAAACTATGTCTCACAGAAGAAACACCATAAAAGATACCYTCTGGTTATCAACCTGATACTGTCAGTTATATAAAATGTAGTCAGATGCTCTGTTACCTRGTTAARGAGTCCKTTCAGTTCAGKTCTTTAGCCAGCAATCAACAGTTGRTCAACCAAATCTGCAAAAAATCTGATGGTCAGGGGTTAACTGAGGACCTTTGTACCTCTGGGCATGATTAAAGAAGCGAGGATCAGTTTTGTTCTTCACAGCAATTTCCTAACAGGACTGGTGAGCAGGAAAGCTTTCTGTGTTCAACTGCTGCCTTCTGAAGCTTAGGTAACAGTCAGCAAATAGTAAGTTGTTAAAATCAATAGAAAATACTGTGCTCAACAATTGGATAATGTATAGCAGTGCTTGTTTCTCCTACATTATGTGTGGTGAAATCTATATGGTTCTGTGCATTCAGTTAATTATTCTGTACAGTGTGCTTTATTGCCTTAATTTGTCTCAGGACTGGAAGGAATGCCCTGCCCCTGGACTTGCTCTGTTATTTTCGAGCTGTTAGGAGGACGTGAATACCCAAGTTTAGTTTTATTTCCAGTGGGTTAAGGATTGTAATTGCAGCAGTCAAAGTGGGCTATTTGTTTTATTAACTGATCACAGATACAAGTGCAAGTGACCTAGGTGGAATTTCTTTCTTCAAAGCCAAAGCACAAGGTAGAATAACACTGAACTGAGTTAATAAAATATTTTGCTTTGGGGACTACCCGAATTTCCTTTTTTTACTGAATTGAAATAAAGAAGCTAATGAAAAGTTACCTGCTGGTAACTTGCTGTTCATTTGCCTATTAACGCCTAACTCCATGTTTTCTCAAGGTGGTTGGTGCCAGAAGTTATAATTGGGTGTATCAGATCACTGAMAAATATTGAATTTATGGGGAAAA